TGGTGTGTTTTTCAAATGTGTCACTGTTAACCAATATTAGGCATTGACTCATAGAAGTGTCTTTTTTCTTTCCATATTTGTAGCCAGTTGCATGTTAACACATCTCCTGCCATCATGTGCCTGAAAAAAAAAACTTTGTTGTGTATGTATGGCAACACATGCAGCAGTTTTTGATATGCACCTGCTCTTTTCTTCTGTATCCATTTCTTATCAAATTTTCCTTGTAGTTGAAAGTACATTTACATTCATGCATTTGGTAGATACTTTTGTCCAAAGCTACTTACAGTGCATTCAAGCTATACATGCTAATCAGTATGAAACTGTGACCTTGATTGTTAAAGTAGTAGTCTCTTTGCAATTTCAAACGGCATGTCCAAGCCTGCCAGATCTACAAAAGACACTATACACCAGTCAATTAGCTTACTAAAATGTGTCAAAGAAAACGAAGGTGACAATCGTAAGCAGCAAACATGTGCGATCAAAGAAGACACCAGACAGTTTCTACAGACATCCACACTTAGCTCAATCTCTCACAAAGAGACACCTCCAGTAAAATAGAGCGAGATATTTCAAGATCACACGATTTATTTCCTTCGAGATGGAGGCTGCTTGCAGTGCCTGACTGAATATCTTAAGGAATAAATTATGACTGATCAGTTTCGTTTAAAGCAGCTTTTGATCTTGCACTCGGCAACCTATAAACTGTGTCATTCCCTTTCACATAAACAGATACAAAATGCAAATTTACTGTTTGGTAGGTTTTTAGAGTAACATGGGAAAACTCTAATTACAAACTGACTAAATAACAGAAGCAGGATATAATGTGATTATCGGCTCTGCTTTAAAACCCTGCTAACAAGACAAAGTGTGTGTGTGTGTCTGTATGTGTGTGTGTGTGTGTGTCTGTCTGTGTGTGTGTGTGTGCTAAAGTTAGAGGCAAACTGCTAATAAGAAATCAAAGTGGTGTTCTGCAGCCCAGCTTAATGTGTGTGTGTGTGTGTGTCTGTCTGTGTGTGTGTGTGTGCTAAAGTTAGAGGCAAACTGCTAATAAGAAATCAAAGTGGTGTTCTGCAGCCCAGCTTAATGCTAGCACAGGCATCAAAGAATTAATGTGAAAAAACATACAAGCTCTCAACAATATTTGACAGAATTGGGGTGCGCGGCAAGAACACGTCAAAGAGACAGTGACTCAGCCATAACTGTCACTGGATCCAAATTAGTGGATATCAGCGGTGCTTACGGTGAAAGTCGATGCTAAACCAATTCTCTAACTTTACATGATGTGTCAAACCTTCCTGCAACGCCTTCTTTCACATCACTAACTCTCAGACACTTCATGTCAAGATGTTCTTTGGTACTTTTGTTTTAAATTGGTAAGCTGTCTTTATTTTATCAACTTGGTTTTCAGATTTTCAGTGTTAGAGTACAACAAATGCCAACAAAAATATGCAATCAAATATTTTAATAATTACATTGTTTTATTGATTTTATTTTAAATTAATCATTCAAATTAATTTATGAACTGGGAAATGACATTCAAACTGACAATTTTTTGATCATATTAATCAAAATATTAAAAGGTCTATTCATTTGTCCATTTGAAAAGTAACTTTTTATATTTTCATTTTTTTTAACGCAGTTTAATTAAATAACAATATTGAAATGTCTATATATTTATCCATTTAAAAGGGGTAATTTATTTATATTTTCATTTTTTAAATGCAATTTAAGTAAAAAAAAATATTTAAATGTTTATTCATTTGTTCATTTTAAAAGTAATTTATTTATATTAAATTTTTTTAATTCATAAGAAAAATAAAAATAATTTTTTTTTATAAAATACAAGTATTTTTAAGTCTAGTCTTCTGGTACAAAAAATACTGTGGTGATTCCATGGTACTGAATGATACATTCATTTGGCATCCCAAGGCACTTCAAAGAATAACATAGCATTACCATGGTATACAGTATTACATATTCATAGTACAGTATATTATGAACAAAAACATGCTATTACCACAGTGCCAAATTCAAAAAGGCATAGTAAATTTTAAGTACTTGAATAAATTTCAGGAATCAAAATATTGCTATGAAGGATTCATCTCTGCTATTCTCAAATCTCTGTACTGCATTTATGTCTCAAGTGACCTTTGCTTGTATTTGTTTATGCCACTTATTGTTAGCGGAGAATTAGCTTTGGTTTTTATGGCACACAGATAATGATGTTGGCAGGGCATAACAGACAAATGTCACTCTTTAAGTCAAAAAGGTCAAACGAACATGCAACAAAAAGGCATTTTCATTATTAACTGTATTTATCACTACAAAAACTCATCAATATGAAATGTCAGTTAATGAGGAAGCATTTAACTGACAGTTAGAGAGTACCATAGCCTGAAGCAGCCTCCTCTATGTCCTGAACCACCTGGGCTCCCCTGACACGTATACGTCTGGATCCTGTTTGGGTCCAGGATCCTGATCCATTCATCACAATCAGACCAGAGCATCTCCACGCCGACCCAGCAGAAACAAACGTCACTCCATCCATCTGCCTGTGGATCAGTCTTTCCAAGAAACAGGACAAAGTTTTCATAATGCACAAACACCTGTCAGACCTCGTATCTGTGAGTCCTGACAGACCTCAGGGTTTTCTTCTCCCTGATCACTAAATACTGCACATCTGCTCCGGCAACTGCTAAAACATGCATATCACATTACTTGAATTGGAATGAGCACTATCAATGATGTATCCATCTACAGATGTCTGATCTGAAACTACTGTTCAAAAGCCTGTGGTCTGTACGATTTTTTTTTTTTTTTTTTTTTACAAAATACCTTTGTGCTCACCAGGGCTGCATTTATTTGATTAAAAAAATACAATAAGAACTGTAAGATTGTGGAAATATTACTACAATTTAAAATTATGTTTTTTTTTCATGTTTTAAAGTAATTTGATGGCAAAGCTATAAATCTTTCTTCACATTATAAATGTCCTTACTGTCACTTTTGATCAATTGAATCCATCCTTGCTGCATCAAAAGTATTAATTTCTTTCAAAAACAAATCGTACTGACTTCAATCTTTTGAATGGCGCTGCCTACACTGTAAAAAGAATTCCGTAAAATTTACGGTAAAAAAAACGGCAGCTGTGGTTGCAGGAATTTGACCGTAAAAGCTACGGTAGCAACCTCGGTTTTGTGGATTTAACTTAAATTTACAGTATAATACCGTAATTTCATACAAAATACCTTTGTGCTCACCAGGGCTGCATTTATTTGATTAAAAAAATACAATAAGAACTGTAAGATTGTGGAAATATTACTACAATTTAAAATTATGTTTTTTTTTCATGTTTTAAACTAATTTGATGGCAAAGCTATAAATCTTTCTTCACATTATAAATGTCCTTACTGTCACTTTTGATCAATTGAATCCATCCTTGCTGCATCAAAAGTATTAATTTCTTTCAAAAACAAATCGTACTGACTCCAATCTTTTGAATGGCGCTGCCTACACTGTAAAAAGAATTCCGTAAAATTTACGGTAAAAAAACGGCAGCTGTGGTTGCCGGAATTTGACCGTAAAAGCTACGGTAGCAACGTCGGTTTTGTGGATTTAACTTAAATTTACAGTATAATACCGTAATTTCATTAACTAATATAATGTTAATATACCAACCTGTTGAAGTACTGAAATCTGTTTTGTACCTTTGTAATACACTGATAACCTCCAAATGCAGGTGGTGTTGAGAAAGTCACATGAACCAAAGCTCATCACAAGCAGTTTTTAAATAATAACATGTATAGAAGGTGCACAGTGTCATTCACACAAACGCTAAACACCATCATGGTAACACATGAAACTGAAATAATGCAATAAACATTCATTTAACAGCATTAGGTGTAACATACAACCCTAATATAAAAAACTGATAAGAAAAAAAATAAGAAGAAACATAGTTATTTCAACAACAAAACATCAAATTTGAAATGTAATGCAGGGAATTCTGGGAATGTCAATTTACGGTTATTCACTGTAAATTATACGGTATTTTTCACTTACAAAAACGGTATACTACCGTAAAATTAATGTCCAATACATGTAATGTCTGATACAGTTTTTCACCGTATATAGTAGGGGAATTTACCATTAACCATTTAACAGGTTTTTACTGTAGCATTTTTACAGTCTTTTACCGTTAAATTCACGGTCATTTTTTACAGTGTATCTGTAGTCTTGAGCTCTACAGCATTGTACCAAACAGTACTGTTCGTTTTTGTTGTTGTTTTGCCATTAGGTTGCGATTAATAAATGTAATATTTTCAGAACACCAGGCTACTGTGTCCAACCCTGGAGAAACATGCTTTGTGTCCTGCATAATGATGCAGTAATGGCATCTAGCAGCAGCAGATGAAGCTCACCAACCAAACCCTGCCGACCTGCAGTGCGCCATCAGAAACTCAACAGAGTTAAACCGGTTCTGCTTGCATGTCAGAGGTTAAAACGTGTTTTAGGTTGAAACAGTTTAAAAGATGTTTTGCACACTAAGACAGCATGCAGAGAAAATGGCTGCTCACTGGGAAACTATAACTTTAGACAGGCTTTAGAAATGACAGCTCGACAAATAGCAAATGAAAAAAGCATTTTCATTTTGGGGTGAAATATCTTTTTTTTAAATACTTGAAATACGTTTAGACTGTAATGTACAGTTTTAGGGATTATGTATTTATTTATGTATTTATTTATTTATTTTGTCTGTTCTTACAGCCACGTGTTACATATGACGTCTAGCACATTTACATTTTTATTGAGAAAATGTTTCTAAAAATACTTTTTGCGACATAAACACATTTTAAAACATCTCAGAACTACACATACCGTGACAAAGTGCAACAGGCCCATTCGGTGAGCCTGAATATGATTGGCCGTTTTGAAGCACATGACCCATTTTCTTTAATCTGATTGGCTGATTCATATGAACAGGGGGTTGTTGCCAGATAGAGAGCTAGATGCGTTAGAAGCAGTAGTGCGTTCTCGTGTCCTGAATATACAAATACAAAAACACATTTAATATGCAGTAATATATATATATATGTCTTCAAGATTAGTGGCTGTAAAAATAAGTCGTTTATTTTAAGTATAATCCAAGTGCTTTGGGGTTCCTCAACAGCGGAAGGATATTTGCGCCGTTTTAACGTGCGGTAAGGAGCGAAGTTTGAATATTTCACTACTATACATTTGTTTTTACATATTAAACGAAACATTTCGATATCTAAACAAAGTTGTATTTATGTTATTAGTTACACTGCTGGGTAAAACCATGTAGATATGTAACCTTTCTTAAAGTAGATGTTACACATCGCTGGCCTGATGTTTTGAGACGTTAACAGACGTGTATAAATGAATGGAAGATCTTGTGATATATATATATATATTAGTATGACAGTCTCTCATCTTCAGTACATTTATGGACTTAGATCTCATATCTTATATACTGTACTCAAGAATGGAGGTTACTGAAGCCATGGACAGCAGAACACCACTGGCAGCCCTGTCTCCCTCACAGCAGAACACTGAAGCTGGAGAATGGGATTTCTCCAAACTCACTCCTTCACAGTTTGGCATATCAACAGACAGCTTCTTACCGTCCTCCAAGATTAAAGGTTAACTACAATAAACTGGATTTAATAATGTTCTTCCTCATGTATCACTGATTAATCGAGTCATGTAGAGTTCTTGCAGTGTGTAAATAAGCACTTTTTATTTACTTTTTATAACTTTTGATAATTTTCTCAATTATTTTATTTTGCACAATTGTGTTTTATTAAATGAAAATGAAATCAAACTGAAGGAGCGCTGTTAATATTGAGTTTTCTTCTCAGATAAATCCAGAGTTGCTCAACTGAAGGCCAGGAGGAGATCCACGATTGGGGTCCGGGGATCTCCAGAAACGAACTCTCTCATCTGCTTCAGGGCCAAACAAGCTGCAAAAACACCTCCACGAACACCACAGGTAGATGGATGGCGTAACACAGCTCAGTATTTGCTTTAGGACCCAGATTTTACATTGGACATCAAGTGGTGACCCAACATGGTACCAAAGTGTTTGTCAGACAAAAGTAACCATAATGCATTTAAAAATTAAAGGAAAAGTTCACCCAAAAATGCTGGGTGCCCTGAGCCTATCCAAGATGAAGATGACTTTGTTTCATCATCAGAACATAGAGACATTTAGTGAATAGACATATAATCTGAATGAGCGTCCAAACAGCTGATAGAAAGCACAATAATCCACAAGTAACCCACACAACTCCAGTCCATTAATGAATCTATCGTGAAGTGAAAAACTGTGTGTTTGTTAAAAAACAACAACAAATCCATCATTAAGGCATTTTAACTTTAAAGGGTTGCTTATGGCCAAAATATGAGTTCATAATCAATAATAATAATAAAAAGTCCATCCCCTGTTGTCCTCGCACATCATAATCATCATATTTGTTTGAAACTGTTTTTGCTTGTAAAGGTGCTTGATCTGTGCATATTTCTGCCCCGATTAAAACAAGACAACTTTTCACTGCAGCAAGCAATATTATGGATTTATTTCAGACTTATTTAGCCAAAGTTCGAAGTTAAAAATGTCTTGATGGATTTGTTTCTTATAAACGTCCACACACAACATTAACTGATGGACTGGAGTCATGTGGTTTATTGTGATGTTTTTATCAGCTGTTTGGTCTCTCATTCTGACGGCACCCATTCACTGCAGAGGCTCCATTGGTGAGTAAGTGATGTAATGCTAAATTTCTCCAAATCTGTTCTGATGAAGAAGAAAAATCATCTACATCTTGGGTGGCCTGAGGGTTATTTTTGGGTTAGCTATTTGTTTAATATTAACATGAACTAGACCCAACTATACAAAGTGATGGACCACATTGTTTATCGTCATTATGGTGATAATGAAGGTTGTTTGTATTTGTCTTAATCAGTTGTGACTTTGTGCCCTGTCCTCGTGAAGCTTTTCCAGGGGAGTCCATTTCTTTCATGCTGTGACTCTCTGAAGAAGAAGATGGCTGCTTTCCAGTGTCTGATGGAGGAAGACGAAGAGAAGGATGGACAGAAGAAAAATGAGGAGAGTGAGAGTGCTAAAAGCATTTTGGCTAAAGATTCTAAGAACGGTCAGTCTCTCCTCAAAATGTTGACTGCTGCCAACACAAAAACAGACTGTCTTATAGATGCAGTCTTGTAGGACCTGATGATATTGAAGTAATTAAGAGAATGTCATACTGTCATTGCTTGCCATTTCCAGATAATAGAACTTATTCAGAATAAGCAGGCACCGTAATAAATTTGACGCAGTTTGATTTCTTCCATTGATCTCAGTTAGAGCGCAGCAGGACGATGTGCAGAATAAATCAACTGATGATTAAGAGTCTTAAAATAAACACGTTCACATTTCAGCAAGCATTCAGTGTTAATAAAAAAGATTGGAATAAACATATCCAGTCTTCCAATCTGAATAATCTGATCATTTGAGGTTTTGACATTTCTTCAAGTGTAAACAAGACATTTGAGGGTTATTTCAATGCATCACATCTAATTTTTTAAATTCACGATGTCAACCTGGAAAACTGGATGCTTTTTTTAATAACATTGAAAGCCCTCTGAAATATGAACACTTATTTAAACTTATAAGCAACTGTTTTTCTTTAGATTTATATGTTAGATGTGGGGTTCTGTCTTTCATGCTGTGCTTTAAATAGGATCAATGATGGACTCGAATCATTAGAAGCAATTTGAGTTTTCTCTGCATGGCTTTCATGCATTTTAGTCAGCTACTGTTGAGAACAATTAGCATTTGCTGATTCACTGCAATTTCAAAATGAGCACAGATGAATTATGTGATATTCTTATGTGGCATGACCCATGTTTTCTAAATGCCATCTTGGGTCATCATCTCTTTCTGCAACTGTCTGTCCTGCAGGAAATGAGAACACGCTGACTACGCAAAGCCCACCCACTTCGATGACGCCTCCACCCTCTAAGAAACGCTGCTGGGCCCCACAGGGGGAGTGTGAGGACAAGAAAACCGAGACTCTACTCCCCTACCCCACCTTCACGACACAAGGGGTAAACAAATCAGCATTTAACGATATCATGTTTGATATTTGATATATGGTTCTGAAGTTTATCAACTGTTAAACTGCCAGTAGCAGATAAAGTGGCACAGGTAAATTGCTTACATTGCAACCAATGGATGTTGCACTAAATCTAACAGACTTTGTGGTCCACATAAGTTGCCTGGTGGTGTTCCTGTAGTCAGCATTGTGTTCTTTTGTTTTTCTATGGTTATAGTTGAAATGCTATGAGTCTCAAAGCCAGAGGCCTCATTCAGACTTGGATTCGGATGCAAAGAATGAGCTTCTGTCTTTACCCATGCTGTCAAAACCAGAAATTAAACTAGCAGGTAAGGGAACTGAGTTCTTGAAAATGTTTTGAAATTTTAAAAGGCCATATTGTACTTTTACATGGGCTATATCATTCATAATAATTATCATTCAAAAGTTTGGTATTGGTAAGATTTTATGTTTTTGAAACTTTTATGCTCACCATAGCTAATTTATTTGATTTATTAGAAGAAGAAAAACTGATTCTATTTTATTATATTTTAAAATATAATTTGTTCCTGTGATGCAAATCTGAATTTTCACCATTACTCCAGTCTTTAGTATCACATGATCCTTAAGAAATCATTCTATTCTCAAGGCTCAACACTAAGGATTTTTTCCTTTCCCCGGTTGGGCCAGTGGTTCAAATTATTACTTGCCCTGCCAACATTTTCACTGGCCCTGCCACAAAAAAATAAAATAGTTGCCTTTATCATTGTTTTTGATCTATGTTATCTAGGGATGTAACGATTCACAATTCGATTCGTGATTTTTTTTTTTTTTTTACAAAATGAGATTTAAGACAAATTATAAATTAAATGTGTCCTTTTATTATTGCTTGGACAAAATGCTGCACATTTCTTTGTGAAATTGAAATATAACACTATAATAATATACTAATATAGCACTTGCATATTACTGCTCTTTTGTTAGTTTTGATTGCTTCTATTGTCCTCATTTGCAAGTCGCTTTGGACAAAAGCGTCTGCTAAATGACCAAATTTAAATATAATGTAAATAACAAAACTACATTGAAATTTGTACTGCTCTTTTGTTAGTTTTGATTGCTTCTATTGTCCTCATTTGCAAGTCGCTTTGGACAAAAGCGTCTGCTAAATGACCAAATTTAAATATAATGTAAATAACAAAACTACATTGAAATTTGAAAACAAGCCCCAAATCAAATAAATAACACAAATAAAAGAAATCTCTTCATATAAACAAACTAAGGCTTTGTCTGTGCTCTTTCCATTTAAAATTAGAGGCAACCACTGCTTTTTAATCATGGTCCAAACAAAGATGCTGCATACATGCAACATGAGCAGTTTTGAATCTAAATCAGATTGTATAATTTTGAAGCAAAAACAAAATGGTTTGACTTCAGTTTTATGAAACTATACATAAAAATATCTGCATGAAACAGCGGCTGAGCTGAATGAGACGCAGATTCACTCTCTGCCAGCAGGTGGCACTTAAAACATTTCCTTGGTTTCCGCTATAAACAAAGCTGCGCTGAACTTATGAACTTTAATATGTGTTATACAAAGGAAAGATGAAAAGAAAAAAATACTAGGTAAACTTTTCTAAAGACAGTAAGTTCCCCTCAGACATACATTCATATAAACTCCTACACCTAAATGAATCGCGATTTGTTTAGCATCTCAACCGATTTGAATAGTCACATATTTTAATCGATTTTCAACCGGCTCACGGTTAATCGTTACATCCCTAATGTTATCTTGTATTCTAATAAATAAGCTTATATGACACCAATATTTTAGATACAAATTAAATTTTACAATTCTCTATTTAAATTTCGATACAAAAGCCAAAACTACTAGCCTGACAAATATAAAGTTCATTCATTATTAAAGACAAGTGAACAGTGAGTAAATAAGAACAAATGAACAAATTACAAACAATAACACCACTGAATATATAGAACAAAGATACAAATGAAATGATTGAGGATTTAATGTTTGCAGGTGTTCAGGTACAGAAATTGAATAATCACATATAAATTAACATTTCCATATTCTTCACTTTGCTGCACCTTGATTTTTCATAGCCATTTGAAATTTGTGGTAACCACTGCATTTTAATCATGAATCGATCCAAAAAGAATTATTTAAATTAGACTGTATAATTTCAACATTTGAAGCAAAAACAGAATGGTCTGACTTTAGCTTTGTAAAACTATGCTACATAAAACACCTGCATAAAACAGCAGACGAGCTGAATTAGATGCAATTTTACTCTCTGCCAGCAGGTGGCGCTTATGGAACAGCAGCGTTTACTTGGTTACTGCTGTACACAAAGCAACACTGTCATATTAGCACTACTTTAAATGCATTATACTGAGCCAAGATAAAAAAGAAAACACCATGTAAACTTTTCTAAAAACAGTCAGTTCCCCTCCGAAACATCCATATAAAATTCAGTATTTAGGTTTTTCTTCCTATATTTCGCACATCGTGATCAGAGCTGCTCTGCCTGCTACAGTATTTTCTCCTCTTTGTGTCTGTCTTTAGCTTCGCTGGCCTCTGTTAGCGGCCGTTTACAGACTAAATATAATAATAACGTAATATTTCCACACAAATGACATTTTGTAAAAAATTATTGCGATGCAGTTTGTGTGCAAGCACGGAACAGAAATGGTCTGAAATAAAACAAAAAATGCCCAGTCGATTGTTGCATTTTACACATTTTTCTATTTGTCCGTTCAAGCGCAAGAAAGACGCGGAAAGAAACTCAACTCGGGGCTTGGGCATCAGAGCATCCTATCCTGCTATGCTGCTGTCTGTCTGCGCACTGCACTGTACTAACAGAACACCGCGCACAAGTTGTCTTGAGTAATGGAGTTGTCTTTAGTACCTTGCTCGAATGCTTTTAAATTTCTTTATTTTTTTCATTAGCAATGCAAATGATGAACTTTTTGTGACGACGCAGCAGTTGCCCCATCGGGCAGTCCTTGTTGTCGAGCCCTGATTCTGATTTGCAGCTCAAGGAACGTTTCTTATTACCATCAATGTAAAATGATTGCTGCTTATTGTTGTTGTGGAGATTGTTGGTTCTGGTGAAACCTCATGTAGTTTTTCACTATCATTGGGAATGGAAAACCTGTAATATAAGAAATTGCCATTTTTTAACTCAATGAGCAGAATTTAACTCATAATGAGCTGTGCCTGCTTTTTAGTTTCAGTAAATTGTCTTTTTGAACTCTGGAGGAAATTTGGGGTTCTGAAAGTTGGTGTTCTTTCATAGTACATTGGACTCTTAAACTATCAAGAAAAATTTGATGATAAAACATAATATGGCCCTTTTAACCATTTGTTTGTTTATGGTTCATTTAGTTTCAAATCCTGAACTAATAAAATCTTGTTTTCTTCTTATAGATGAGAACGTGGTCTCTTCTGTATGCAAGAAGAAGCGTGTTCGTTTTGGGGCCCCGCTCTCTCCAGAGTTCTTTGACAAAACTCTCCCTCCCAGTACCCCACTACAGAAAGGAGGCACTCCAAAGTGTCCTCCATCATCTACGGGTCCTAAACGCTCACTGCTGAAGACCCTGCAACGTTCTGATCCTCTTCCACAACCTGACTTCAGTAGTCCTCAAAGCAATGGAGCCTCACCTGTCCTGGTTATTGACAGATGCAATGCTGGACTGGTGTACAGTGATGAAGTATTTGAAGAGATCGAAAAGGTGTGACACTTACCAGCTTCTCCAAACTAACGTTTCTGATTGTAGATGAAGCATGTATCAGTGTCTTGTGGTTTTATTCCATTATTACAGACTGGCTCCTTACTCTATAAAGTTTTGTACTGATGGTGAGTTTTTGTGGCTTTCTCCTATTCATCTTCTCAGATCAGTTTTCCCAGTATGGAGGACGAGTCTCCTTCATACAAACATTCTGAGGACTGCAAAGGTGAGTTATGAAATGTTTTTGGAAAATGTTTCTCTTCGGTCTGTATTCTAATTGTGTTTCTAAAACTGTAGATGTACTCTCTGCTGAGGACCCAGGGCAGCCCCAGGCTGAAGACACTGAAGTTATGAACTTTGCTTTTCAAGAGGATGTACCATCAGATTCACAGACAGAGGAAAAACTACCATGTCCCAATGGTGATCAGCCACTGGCTTTCTCCGGTGAGTTAAACTTTCTTCCACTCTTTCTTGCCCTCAGTAAATTCAAATCAGATTTTATTTCTCAGTGCTGAAAGTTTTAAGCAAAATAGAATAAAGATTACGAGAGTTCAATGGAGAAATATAAGTCTACTGTTCTTCTAAAGCACCAGGGACCTGTAAAATGGTAGGAGTGGGTATGGCTAGACAACTAGTTGTCCACTGACTGAACAGTCAATTAGTGAGCTAAGTTTATCTATATTTTATTTATGCCTATATTTTTCAGTTTCTTTAATATTCTTAGGGATGGTGCTTTACACAAACTGAACTTAAAGACTCAACTCCTCAGAGGATTGTAGCATACTGTTAACAAGGTAAACTGTATTTGAGAAGTTGCATCTCTAAATTCATCCCCTACAGGCATCAAAACACTGCTTTTGTTAAACAAAAATCAGCCAGCATCTGTGTGGATTTTGATAGTTTTGTGCAATTAGATATTTGCCCTATTAAAAAAATTATAGCATTCTCAGGGCTTAAAGTTCTCCGGCACCGTGCCAGATCTCCGGTGTGCAGCATTTGGCTGCAGAAAAAAATAGTCCTACATTTAAAATAAAAATAAAATCTTGTTGATTGATATCACTTTCGAGTCCATGAGTTCGCCTACCAGTGGTATGAGAGGAGCACAGCTTTCACTCTCAACCAAACTAACATTACTAGCCAATCAGAATGTTTTGCTCTTATAAACACGAGACGCGCATAATAGTATCCAATTGCGGAGTCGTAGCCCTGATGAATGGAGAAGCGCGACAAAAAGCTGCGAGGCGCAATGGTCAAAGATGTCCATCTAGCGCATATTTACATAGAATAACTAATTAAAATGCCGCATAGCTTTGTAAACAGCTCAGAGTAATCATGTCATCTCCATAAAACTATATGATTGCCAGAACAAATTTACTTGGATTTTTGAAAAGGTCCTGTTCACACACAATCTCTTAATGGTAATTTACCTGTAATTTACCAGTACTGTATGTGTGAAAGGGGCTAAACTCTTCCTCTGCGTATGCCGTGAATTTGAATTGCTTAACGTTCATCTGGAAAAACTGTGTGCATTATTTCAGTAGATTTGTAACGTAAATCATTTACAAACCTTTGCCAACACAGGAGAATACATCAACCAATGTCTAAATATGCCATGTATTGTACATCGCGATTTCAAAATAAAAGTTCCTGCATGTGGCCAAATATTAAAATTAAATGGATTTAAACATCATTTAATCACGCTGTAAAGTGAAACGTCACCAGGCCGTTGGCGCCCTCTGCAGGTAAGTTGGTTATGTTCATATTATGTATAGGCATATTACATTATGTATTTTTATGTATAGCTATCATGATTGAAAATATTGAAGCATTTGACAGCCTTGGTTGTGTCAGATTCAAAAGCACTCTCCCCTGTTGTAAGAACAAATACATTTTAGTAAATGAGTAACAATATTTCTCATCTACATGTGTTTATAAGACAGGTGACTACACTTGCCTAGGAGGCTACTGAATCTTGCTTTCAGATGTTTTACAGTGGATTTGTTTGTTGCATCCATTACTTTTTTAAGTTTAGTAGCAGCAACACCATCTCCTGCCAGCTTTGATGCCTCTCCTTTGAGTGTTATGGTCCATGTGTTGCATAAACCATAAATAGAGATTGTGAGTTAGATATTAGAAATATTTGTAAAAATAGACTGTCCTCTGTTTAAATGGGAGACAGAACCATTCATATACCTGGAATTTGTAGATTGCCATTTCACCCTCTTCCTGCTGCTGCCTTCTCTGCAGCCTCATGTCATCCAGGAACTCTGACAGTCTTCCACTAGGCTTGGGTCTCGCAACCATTGCCTCTGTGGTCACCAGCAGTTTTTCAAGGCCGCAAACTGCCTGTTTAGATATAACAGTGCAGTATTATTAACACAGCTGAAGATGACTACAAACACAATTCAAATTTACACATCCCACTTCATATCCCTTACCTGTGTAGGATGATCTCATTCCTCTGAAGTAGGAGGCTAAACTTACTAATGCCACTGAACACGTCTGAAATAAAATGGCAAAAGGCCACAAAAGTGGCATCTTCCATTGATTTCTTAACCTGTATCATACAACAGTAAAAATTAGTCACATAGAACACTGATGAACTAAATTACAACAACAAAAAATCAATAACAATGGCGTAAGTGTCTCTAATGAAAGGAATATTCTGAAAGAATGCACTGACCTTTGTAGCTCGGCCTGCAATGTCTGCATTGGCAGAGGAGCCTGCCAAATGGTCCATTTGGTAGTACACAGCAGTGAACTGTCCTGGTTTAAGAAAGGTCTCCAGGGCCCTTGAAACATGTGGGAGCCACCTTGTCCCCTTCATCCCACTGGGCATCAGCACATTTACCCCCAAGTCAGCCCCAATGACCCTGAGCTCTCTCATTGATTTTGAGCTGAAATGGTACGTCTTCCAAATTAAATGTTGAAGGTCGTACAATTGCATCATTGGATTGTCCCTCTGCACTGACAACATTGCCAATTCCAATCTGAAAAGATAGTCAAATTTTAAATGTGGATACATCTGCTCTATAAAAGAAAATAACCCACAGTGACTTTAGGGTGTCAGTCATACCTTATCTTCTAGTCTTACCTGTGAGGCATACAGTGGAAAGGCACAATGTGGTCACCTGCCTCTTGCTGCAGAAGGGCTATAACACCCCCTTTGCTGCCCAAATTAACAGCAGCACCATCAACACCCAGAGCAATAATTTTCTCCAGCCAGTTACTGCACTGGTCCCCAAGAGCAGCAAATGCTTTCTTTGAGGCAGCATACATTCCTAATTAAACAAATAAAAACGATGATACCATTTACTTCCCAGATCAAGAGTTTATAATGCAATCATTTTCAATGATAAGAAAATTTTGGTCAATGAGCTAACCCTTTAAGGTCTCTAAAACTGAGATTCTGAATGCATTTTACAATCTAGAGTTGGTAGCACAGAACTATATTATGATGGTGTTTTGAAAATCTGATGTAAGTTTTACTCTCTTCCAATGCAGATGGAGAGCAAGACTGCATTCAGACTCTGAACATTCCCCATAGCAAGACAGTTCGTCCCATGGTAAGTCTGGATACTGCCTGTACATGGACCAATGAAAACGAGCAGACGTTGAGCTCCAATGTGTCAGACACCACTGACAATCAATCAGATATGGGCGTGACTTGTCTGGAACCCCCAGTCGGCACTCGGGGTCCTGCAGGAAGAGGAAGCTCAGGGTCAAAGACTTCCAAAGCCAATCGTGACTCTGGGAGGCCTGTGCGCCAACGTCGTAGCTCAGGTGCAGCCAAAAGAAAGGAGCTTGGCAGTCCAGCTATTAGCTCCACTACTAAATCCGGCGGTGAAACTGGGAAACAAGATACTGAGAGCCAAAAGCCAACTGAATCTGCAGGTTTGAACCCAGTGTACCAAGACAGTCCTGATAGACCTGTGCATGATGTGGCTGAGTGCACTGAGAACAAAGAAATCGAGGCTTTAATAAGTTGTGTGGTACCAAATGAAGACTCTATGAACACTGAGAGCTTAGAGCAGAAGACACCAAGCAATAAAAAACATGGACGGGTGCAAAAGGCACTGAAAAGTCCTCCTGGAAAGCTTAATGTCGTGGTAGAGCAAGTAGTTGAGAGTGGTCAGTCAGAGCGAATTACTGATGATACGACAGAGAGCAACGCTGGACCTACAGAGCCTAGTTTGGCCCCCTGGCAGCAGGCTGACTTCAACATCGACGACATCCTGAAACCTGTGGCAAAGAGTCGAGGTTCTGTGCGCCGCAGCCTGAGGAACCGGAGGAGCGTGGACCTTCAGGCTGTGGGCCTGGCCTGGGTGGATCACACCTCTCCGGAGCTGAGTAAAGCGAGTCGGAGGAGGACGCGCGGCAGACTCAGTGGAGTGTCTGAACCATTCGTCCCTCAGGTCTCTGTGGAACTAACACCAAACCTGGGAGAGTAACTGACCTCAATCATTTGTGTCAATTAGCAGTTCAATTACTGTCAAGTGGACTTTTGACAAAATACTAATCTTTTCTCTTATGTAATGTTTTAAAATTCTTTTTCTTTTTTTATACTGTTTTAGTGTTTATGGATGAAACCTGCTCTTATTAAGAAGATTACATTATTGTTAGATTACTTCTACTCATTAAATCTTCTGTTGGGTGAATGAATTGACGTTGAAGGAGATTTTCCTGTGGTAATCTCATATTCTTTTACATAAATGGCAATCCCAGTTTGCTTGGACAGTGGTTTTTGTTTTATTTTAAATTTGCCTACTTTGCAATTCAATAGTACAAAATAATATTTTCATCCAAACCTTCAATCTTGTTTTCCATTGGCCTTATTTGTCATTCACACGTGTAATACAGCATTTAGGCAAGAAGTTATAGGACCTGCTTTAACTATTACATGGATGAATGTTGTGAAAACATGCCTGGATCATTTTTCAACCCATCAGGAGAAAATATATATTTTGCATAGAAAATACTTTTTTTCAATATATTTTGTCATTTATTTTGACAGTCAAACACATATTCTGGTTACTATAATGCATCTAGTTTAACTTTAATTGTCCTCATTTATTCTTATTACTAATAAACTGTAATTATTTCCATTAAAACAGCAATTAATGCATTAAAAACTAATTGAAAAACAAAACAGCCTTGGCACTGCAGTTCAGTTGTTAATTTCATGTATACATATTTCACAGCTATTTATTTATACAAGTAATTTAAATATCTAATTTTTTAATTGCAATAAAATGTTAAATTTTTTTGTGGAGGTGAAATATGGTCTAGACATGTTCTTGACGGGTTTCATAACATTTACTCCGGATTCACATACTCCAAAATTGTAGCCATTCAGTCATTACTCAACATTTTAGAAGGGAAGCGACACTCCTAAACATTCTGAAATGCAAGTGAAATTCACTCAGTAGTTTAATCTGCCGCTCTTCACAGTTGTGCATTTCACCTGTAATTGCAGTTCGTGCTGCAAAAGAGCCGACTGTGTTTAAAGCTAACAGAAAATTCAGAGGGGAAATGTCTTCAGTGAATGGAGCACAATAGGAGTTCAAAAGAATGACTTATTTACAATTCTATTTACTCTATGATTTCAGTGTCCCACAAAAATGTCAATACTTGTAAACAACCTGGAAATAATTACTCCAGCCATCTGCACCAGTCTCCATTCAGCTGTGTTTGTTTACTAGCACACACATTATGTTTTATGTGAATCAATCCTCAGCAGTGCTGCTGTGGTGTATCCATGGGAGAAATAGCACTGCAACAGTGTTTAAATATTTATGTCCTGTAGTCAGTCTCCAATTTCAGTTTCACAGATCCAGAGGCATTATTTCAACATGGACTTACACTTGTACTGTACCTGGTCAATGGCTTATGACCAATTGTTCTTCTCCCAATGCAGCTTAAGTTTTTTTTGTTCTTTTTTTTTATTATTGGTATTTAGTTGGAAGGGCCTAAGATGTCAGTTTATACTGACTTTGGATAGACCGTTTTCTTTAGTTTTATTGTAGTAATAACACTGCCATCTAGTGGAAGTAATACGTTAGGCCTTTACATGCTCATACAGGCCATTCACACTTTCTGCCTTCATTTATGTAGTACTACGGGAAAAAAAACTTTTTTGTCAGGATCCAGGTTTTGATCACTGAATATTATTTTTTCCCCAAGTTTGCAAATAACGAGATTCACTTTATCTGAGTTTGTAGTGATAACACCATGAGTTTGATTTATTATCACCCAATAGTTCACCCAAAAATGAAAAATCTGTCATCATTTACTTACCCTCATGTTGTTCCAAAGCTGTATGACTGAACAGAAAAGAAGATATTTTGAAGAATGTTGGCAAGCAAACAGTTGGTGGTAGCCATTGACTTCAATGGTATTTTTTCCATACTTTGGAAGTGGTTACCAACATTCTTCAAAATATATTTTTTATGCAGTAAAAAGTCATACAGCTTTGGAACAACATGAGGGTGAGGAAATGATGACAGAATTTTAGTGATTAATCAAATAATGAATTATTATGTATTCATTTTGACCCTGTTAGTTGACATGATCTCTTGAATTCCTGCCGTTAAGCACGTATAATGTAGTGTTGTTTGCGTGTGTGCCACTGTTGGGGTTAAAATGATTGCGCTAAGTGTTTTTTCTGTGGCGTGTGAAGGAGGGAAACCCCTCTCCCCATCCTACAGTCCCAGTAAAGGCAGCTTAGCACCAGAACAATGGGGTCCTTTGACCAAATTGAGGCCCTTAAGACATGTGGCCTCCTATCACCGTGGTAACACCCCCCCCACCCCATGAGACAACGTAGGAGCTGACAGCTGGAAAGAGAGACTAACAAAAATGGAGTCTGTCCCATTGAGCTTCAGAACTCTCCACTTTGTTGTGCCCCATTATTTTCTCGCCCACGCCAGTGCTGAGCATTGAGCGCCTGTCCCTGTCTTCCTTTATTTGTTAATAATGCATACATTTCAGATCCCTTATCGCCCATCATCTATTCCATTGCGAGTGATGCTTTAACTAGATCCTTAACAGAAAGACTTTGTTTGCGTGTGTGCCACTGTTGGGGTTAAAATGATTGCGCTAAGTGTTTTTTCTGTGGCGTGTGAAGGAGGGAAACCCCTCTCCCCATCCTACAGTCCCAGTAAAGGCAGCTTAGCACCAGAACAATGGGGTCCTTTGACCAAATTGAGGCCCTTAAGACATGTGGCCTCCTATCACCGTGGTAACACCCCCCCCACCCCATGAGACAACGTAGGAGCTGACAGCTGGAAAGAGAGACTAACAAAAATGGAGTCTGTCCCATTGAGCTTCAGAACTCTCCACTTTGTTGTGCCCCATTATTTTCTCGCCCACGCCAGTGCTGAGCATTGAGCGCCTGTCCCTGTCTTCCTTTATTTGTTAATAATGCATACATTTCAGATCCCTTATCGCCCATCATCTATTCCATTGCGAGTGATGCTTTAACTAGATCCTTAACAGAAAGACTCGTGCAAAATTGATGACGAGTGTGTCATACCACGATTAGATTAAATTGTTCTGAGGTCAAACGCTTGCTGTTGAGAAGAGCCGGTGGGCTGAGTGTTGACGTTCTCCAAGTGTCATCTGCTGCGTCGCTCAATTATTCACAATGTGTGAAGTCTGTTTCCAGGCTGTTACAATGTACATAACTGTCACTTTCAATGCAGCGTTCATTATCAACGCGTCATGAGAGGCGCTATAGAGTGATTAGCATCATAGATCTTATGTAGCTCCGCCCCTTTTCAGCACTGAGCTCGTATGCACTGAGATCTTATGAATTAGTTTACTGACATTTGTTACGACATCTGCTTCAAACATTACAATGCACATGATAACTTTCGTTAATGCTACAATAAGTAAATCCGCTTCATCAGCTAATTACTCATCAACATTGATGCCATAGGAATACACAGAGCAACTATAAAAACCGGAAGTTCAAAGACAACATTCTGAAGATGGCTGAGCGCTTGTTTCACTGACGCATAAGGTCTATATATGTCTGGAACAATCTATTCTCTTTCAATTCTAGCTGCTGTCGTGATTGAGCAACAGTTTCGAGACAATTTTGCAGAGCAAGTTAAAGTTAGTCAAACTGTCAGAATGTATGTGTATATATATATATATAGCTACCTGAGTATAACTGGGGGTCACTATCTGTTATTGGCTGATACCACTGATCTATAATATACGGTCATTATATAGATCAGTGGCTGATACCCAGAAAACCCTAGCGACCACCCATAACACCCCAGCAACTACCTAGTAACCACACCGAACAACCTAGAACAAGGGTCTCCAAACTGGGTCCTGGAGGGCCGGTGTTCTGTCGATTTGTGCTACCCCGTCAGATTTTGCTACCTCCCATTAAAACAGTGGGTAGTACAATTCGACAACAAAAAATGCTACCTGTCAAATTATGGTTTATTAATGTCTATACCTAACACAACCCTAAACCTACCCTTACAGTAATGCAAATACAGTAATTATGTGTTATATTCGCGGTTGTGGTGGGATACAGCTACAGGAAACCAACAATAAATAATTTTTTCCTACCTATTAGATTGTTTTATTAACGTCTACACCTACTCCAACCCTAAACCTACCCTTACAGTAATGCAAATACAGTAATTATGTGTTATATTCGCGGTTGTGGTGGGATACAGCTACAGGAAACCAACAATAAATAATTTTTTCCTACCTATTAGATTGTTTTATTAACGTCTACACCTACTCCAACCCTAAACCTACCCTTACAGTAATGCAGATATATTAAATGCTGTTCAGCATGAGAAAATGGACGGAATATTGATGTGCGCATGCGCAATAAACCCTGGTAGGAAAATCTGACGGGTAGGTCCTGCAGAGTTTAGCTCCAACTTGCCTCAACACACCTTCCTGGAAGTTTCTCATACCAACGTGGAAAATGGGCATCCGATGTCCCCTTTGAAGCACAGCCACCACAAAATCAGACTTACTTTAAAATCATTCTGAGGTTAAATACATATTTAAAATCATAACAAGAAATAGTTTAATAGCTATGATACTGTTTTTGAAATCAAATATTTACATAGACAGGAAACACTGGAATCTAACAATGCCTTAGAAAAAAACAGTTGATCATAAAAAAATTAAGCATATACATAAACCCTATCGGATAAGCATGTTATAAACTTCTGAAACATTGGTGTTTCATATTTTAGAGCAGTCACTGCAATTTATGAAAGAACTCAATTAAATATGTATGTGGGAATGTTTGTGGGAAAAAATCAGGTGTAACCCCCTTTGTAATCCTTAACATTTTCATAACTGTAATTTAATTACATATTTTTTCTTAGTAACTGTAACTGATTACAGTTACTTTTATTTTGCAATTAAATGACGTAATTCCATTACATGTAACTAGTTACTCCCCAACACTTTATATAACAATGGCTTAGCAACCACTGGGAATACCCTAGCAACTGCCTGGTGCCATGACAAGCACCAGTCATACTTTCTTCAGAAAATGTTTTATTAGTATTATTATTAAAAAAAAAATTTTTTTTATTCTGCAGCATTGGTCGATATTGGATATACAGTTGCCAAAGCCCATTTTTACCCCTCTGTGGGACGCCTAAGTTTACTTCACTGTATTACAATTAAATCCTAATCTAATCATGACAAACTATATATCGTTGGAAAGGTCTAAGACTCCTAAATAGATATTTTGCCAATGTTTTTGTTAAAAATTATGTAGGAAAAGTAATAGATTAATTTTTGACAAGAGTGCACCTCAAAAATCTACATCATAACAGGAGTTCTGACCTTTGTCACAAAAAGTCGTCTTTGTTGCCTTTTTCTCCATCACACTTTAGAAATCATCAGGAATGATATATCAATTGAAAACTTTAAATCTATAAATTCATCCTTT